TCACACTGCCTCTGCAGGCTCGCCTTCTTCCCATAGTGCATCCTGGTGCCACCTCTTCCCCAGGTAAGCGACACACACGCACCTGGCCATCCACATGATGTAAAAGAAAACCAGACCAGGACACCTTCTTCCACTGCTCCATGGTCCAGTTCTGATGCTCACGTGCCTATTGTAGGCGCTTTCGGCGGTGGACAGGGGTCAGCATGGGCACTCTGACCGGTCTGTGGTTATGCAGCCCCATACACAGCAGACTGCACTGTGTGTTCTGACACCTTTCCATCATAGCCAGCATTAACTTTTTCAGCAATTTATGCTACAGTAGCTCTTCTGTTGGATCAGACCAGACAGGCTAGCCTTCGCTCCCCACACGCATCAGTGAGCCTTGGGCGCCCATGACACTGTCGCTGGTTCACCGGTTGTCCTTCCTTGGACCAATTTTGGTAGGTACTAACCGCTGCATACCCAGAACACCCCACAAGATCTGCTGTTTTGGAGATGCTCTGACCCAGTTGTCTAGCCATCACAATTTGGCCCTTTAAAGCTTTATTTTTTGAAATTTAAGCCTAATGTCTAATGTTTTCACCTATCAGTGAGTGAGAGTAATTTCAAAACAAAGCATTTAGTCATGCATTGACTAGTTAGTTATCAATTAGATAACAATAAACCCTGTCAGTGTTCATTTTAAACTGCATCTTCTTTGTCACCCCCCCAAATAGTTCCTATACTAAAGCTTCATTTCAGTTAATGTAGAGCCAACTCAACAAACTGACCCTGGATAACAGCAAATCTTTTATTATTGTCACTAATATGTATATTTAAAAAAACGTTTACATGATGTAGAAATATATGTACACTTTTAAATTAGACAAAATTTAAATATACACTCTAATTTTAACCTCAGGAAGAAAAAAAAGCAAAGGAGGCAATTGATATGAAACATCATTGTTACAGAAATCAGGCCCAGACATCAATGACATCACCATCCTCCATGTCCAGCTGTGAAGGTGTCTGATTGTGCTTCACCTTTAACCCATCGAAGAGGAATTTGACCTTGCGCTTAGCAGTGGCAGACAGACCTGAAGTGTATTGTGACAGGATGGAACCCAGAGGAGCATCCTGAGTGGCGGAAAGAGTAAGAAATCAATAAGAAAGAATAAAGAGGTATGCCATTGTGCTAAGGAGGACAACATAAAGTCCTCAAAAAGAAAAAAAAAAAAGATCTGGAACTTCACTGACCTGACGTAAGGAATATTCCTGTGCAGATCCTTTTTCTTTGCCCTGCAGTCGCACAGTGATGACATCACATTTGCTTTCATCTTCGTCATCGGTTATCACAAGACAATCTGATAGAGCAGGCACAAAAGGCAAGTTGTAGAGAAAAAAGGTCAGCCATGATAATACATGACTAATCCCTATAAAATGATTAATCAGAAACTTTTCACTCACCTATGATGTCTGCAATGCCCAGATCTAACTGCGTGATTGTAGAGTGCACAGGAAGCTCATCATCATTCCTCATTAGCAGTATTTTAGAGGGTGGGACTTTAAGTTTGACAGATAACTGAGCTACAGCCTTGCTCAGAGGATCTGTCTGCAAATGAAAATCAGATCATTATATTGTATTGCTGAAGTAAGTAACATCAGAAATAGTTCTGATTCCCTTAGCAGCAATGATATTGCTCAGTACACATTGTGTTGTTATCACTGTGGGAAAACACTCCATCTTACTGAAAGCACTGGAATTTTGTGCACGTCCATTCTCCAGCGAAATTTCAGTGAGATTTCTCGAGCACGTTTCCTGGGCTTAGGTTTGGCTGGACGTCTCTTCTTTCTATCCTCAGAGGAAATGATTATAATCTCGTTGTCATCATCATAGCCCTTGTTTATTTGGGAGGGATAGTCACTGAAGTCTGGAATATCTTCAGGTCTTTTGGATGTTAAACACATGAGCGAGCTAAATGTATCCAGTTTCTGGTTGATTTGTCTAAAACAATGAAAAATTCTACAGTGAATTCTTCAGCTCAAAGAAAATTTGATTTGTACTGTCATTAACTGTTACTGTTATAAAGATTATTTTTCTGACCCCTGTGGAGAGCAGTTTTACTGATACATTTACCATTTCAGTTTTTCAGTGCCATTATGTTCTTTGCTTACTTTATAAAATGCACAGTAAGGAACTAAAACACTGGTTATTTAAAATGTCTGAACTTTAAAAGCAAGAAATCTCTATTTGTCACAACGTCCATATTTTGGGTCTCCTGTTCATTTTCTATAAAAATGAATTCCTAAATTTTTTATTAATAAAAGCCCTATTATTTTTTTCTTTCAATAATTCACTCACCTTATTTTTTTGTTTGCCCGGTTAGTTTTCAAAACAGGTGGGATGCAGTGAGGCAGAGGTGAAGAGGGGGTCTGGCTCACCAGTCTGAGTTATGGAGCAAAGCAAGATGGGAGAAAGGGGGTGGGGAGGAGAGGGAGAGAGAGAGAGAGAGAAAAAATGCTGCCTCACTTGTAAGTAAATTTCATGAATAAACAGATTACATAAGAGAATATGGACCATTAGTGGCATAAAAATACTGGTTTATTTTAATTTTTAAATAAAAAATAATTTTAACATCATGTATATAATCTCATCTAACCAAGGATTGATTTCTAATTAAATATAAACTCATCCTTTTATACTAGAGCATTTTCACATCATTAAAACACACCACATGCTTATTATGCTTATTAAATATAATAAATTAACCACATTTAGTAAACAACCCATTCAGTAATTTACTCACTTTATCATTCTTGTGCTTGTATAAGTATCATTAAAGTCAGGAGTGAAACTCACTGAGGTTTATCTGGTTCTGGCTCCTCCTCAGAGTCACTCAGGATTATGCTGATTGGCTTGTTCTTACTTTTGGGTGGAAATGGAGGCCAGAGTCTGTCTTCGTCTTCATTTACCTCTATCCAACCACAAACACAGCAGCATTGGATTCTATATCCATACGCAATTATGTCCAAATTGAAATAGAGAACGTGAACCTTCTACATGACACTACATGGCATGTTTAGTACTGGGCTTATGTGATGTATCATAAATGGCCTAAACTATTAATGGAATATTATTTGCTGCAGAAGTGCACATATTTCAAGTGTGAGTTAGTATCCTGGACTGGTAATGAAGGGCTACCTGTGCAGTCCACTTGTTTGAAGACAGCTGGATTCAGTTGTAGGCTGCGGGTGACCTGAAATAAAATGCTAATGACCATCACAGTGTCTAACCACAACCAGCCTGGGCCTTTGTTGCATTTTGTCATAGCAGTTTGAAAACAGTTTTGGTGATCTCCAGGGCCTTAACCAGATGCTGACATCAATGCTGTTGTCAGGGAAGTTCAATAAACTTTCTGTCTGATAAATATAATGAGCATTTAACATTCACTTCAGCAAGCAGGCAACCAGTCTGCTGAGAGAAAGCACTCTCAAAGAGAAGTGGCAAACGGACCGTGCAGAGAAAATATGGCAGGTGAACACATCATGGAGGTGAATTATTGACAGATTATTGGTGTCAGTACTGTACCTTTTTGGAGTAAATGGGCACAGGTATGATGGCCGAAGGGTCGAGGACACGCCTTCGTTTGGGAGGTGGATTTGGGCGGCTCTGTGCCGTAACCTCAATATCACTGTCACTGTCATATGCCTGGATCAGGTCAGGGGAAAGAGAGGAAAAGATCAAGAAACAGGCATTTATCTTGCAGTATCTGATAGACAGACTCTTCATGTGGTGTATGGACTCCACTCAGTCTTTGAAAACCTTCCAAGGAAGCCAAAGGCAGACAAACACTATAAAGTCATTTTAATAAAAATAAGACTGGTAATACCCGGTAACTTTAGCTAGCCTAACACATCTATAGCTGGGACACAAACACCACTGGTGGGTCTTTCTGTACTGTGAGCCTGAACTGAGCCATGTGGTTTATGATTTCTTCTGAAACTGTTACTGAGTTAGCTGTGAGCTAGCCTCATAGTGTAGCTATGATGTTATTATGATGCTAGCAAGCTAACCACAGATCACTGTAACAGAGGAATCACACCAAGACTCGCGATCACAGCACGTAAGCTGTCACAAAAACAATAATCGCTGCATAAAGTACGACCAATAAACATGTCTTACCACTTCAGCCATGTTTAAATTCCGCGCGTCACCGCTGTGTGGAGGCGGAAGTTAATTCTCAGCCAATAGGAGTTCAGAACAAACCCGGAAGCGGCGGCGGCGGCGCGCGTGCCATTCTTTTTCTGTTTTTGTTGCCTTGAAGTACTTTGATAAGAGGGAAGATGGGTATAAAAAAAGATTGCCTTATATTCCCATCACAAATACATCTTCTCAACAAAATACGTATGGGTATTATTACCAGTTCTCAATCTTCTTTCAGCATTTCCCTGTAAAAGTTTAAACAGACATTAGGCAAATATGTTCAATCAGAGCTTTTCATTTAACTTTCCACCCACAGAAACCAAAAACCAGTGTTCAAATTCCATGGACTTCAGTTTACTTAAATGCAATAATACATATCCATCCATCCATCCATCCATCTTCCATACCATTTACACTAGACAGGGGAGCCTATCCCAGTGAACCTGGGGCACAAGGCGGCCCAGATATCAAAATTGGTTGTGGGCCTTATCTGGTTGAATTTAGGCCCACATACCACCACGGCCCACTCCCCTCGAATGGCCCTTAAGCTGCAAACTCATGCCAGAGCTCAGCCTAATGCTGTTCCAAACTGTGCCAGAATTAAACCAGAAGGGCCTAAAGTAAGCCAGATCTCGCCCGGATTTTGTTGCTATCGGGGGGGGGGACACCCTGGACAGGGTGCTTACCCATCGCAGGGCACAATCACACACATTCACACACTACAATTTGGAAATGCCAATCAGCCTACAACGCATGTCTTTGGACTGGGGAGGAAACCCCCGAAACACGGGCAGAACACGCAAGCTGTGCACACACAGGGCGGAGGCTGGATTCGAGCCCGCAACCCTGGAGGTGCGAGTCAAATGTGCTAACCACTAAACCTCTGTGCCCCCTCCCACCCCTGCAATAATACATATAATTATTGTAATTAATTCATGCATGAACATTCATACCCAAACAGTACGCAGAAACCACCCAAAAATCTTGAAAATTTTTTTCTCCTTTATTTTGTTAAAATGTATATCTGCAGTCGTTTTCTTTGGCCCCACACTGACAGGAATGTTGTACAAAAAACATGTGATCTACACATACCGCAAATTATGCTATTTCACCATTCATACCAATGATAATCCAAGAGTCATGTACAAATATAAACACATATTTAGGCCATCCCAGGTACGTTTTCGTCAGAGCTGGTATTCAGTCATTTTAGATTGAGTCCTGGTCTCAGATGCATTTGGTGACGTAGTGACTATATGCAGCAGGAGTCTGATTCTACACCAGTCCTCCTACTTAAAGACCACTTAATCAGGTCCAGATCTTCATCCACTCAATCCTCTTCCTCACTTTTTCTTGTTCTCCTTGCAGGCCACTACGTATCTTTGGGCTACGTTGAGAGGCGGTGAGTAGCCGTCTGCATAGGACGTGTCTTCAAACAGCACCGAGTAGTCATCCTGGGGCTGCGATTTAAATGATATAGTTAAAATAGTTGGCATATTTACTTATTAGATTATTTTATTTGTCTTTTTCTTTTGTTATAAGATGTAGAAAAATATATATTGCATATAAATTGAGCCGGATACTTTCTGCCTGGGTGAAAGCATAATTGAAAATTTTACATTATATATATATATATAAAACCATTAGAGGAATTTATTCTTTCATTCTCAGATACTGAGCTATTAGCTTTTCCCGCTCTGTACAAGTAGAATGGACAGACATTTACCACTCTGGACAGAGTGCTAGTTCCAGAGCTTGTGCCTAATTTTGAACTGTTCTATGAGTTTCGAACGCAAAAGAATCAGATCTCTGCCACCAAAATCAATTTGGTTTTAACAACTAAATGCTGCTGGTGAAGGACCAAGATCTGGTGAAGTTAGAGGTTTGGGGCAGGCGTCATTTTATCACAAGTCCTTTCCAAGACTGGCATTACAATAAAGCCTGAAGAGTACAGCGAGTTTCGAAAGTTAATATTGACAAACACCAGAACTAACATCACAATGATGAATCAATGACCCGAGGAAGAAATAAATGTTTTACTAGCGACTGAAAGGAGCTACTTTGAAAATGCTTACGTTAATTTGAGCAGTTACACACTTATACCTATATAAAAACATTTCTCTCTCATTTTGAGCCTTTCTGTGATGTGTACTGTCCAGGATTCCCATGCATTTTTACTTTATATTATTATATTATTTATTTTATATTATATGAACTTTCATGACTTTTCATAACTTCAAAAAAATCTCCTTGACCTCATTGTTTGCTTTTTGTGAATAACCAGTACACAATTTGCCACAATGCTGACATTTGCACGATTTAAAGCTTAAGTATCAGATTCATTCCCTGAGCGCCTGTCCTGTACAGTGGTCCTCTAAACCATGTTCTTTTATTTTAAACCCAAATCTTTTAATAGTAATGAGAATAATGGGGCTAATGAGATATTCCATGACATTTCTGAAACCTAATGGATATTTTTCAAAACTTGATTTAATTTAATTTGCCACGCCTTTTCCAGGAGTTTTGGGAACCTGAAAGATTTGACTTTGGATGCTAAAATACGTTCTCAAAGCCAGTAGTACACCTTGTAAAATCCTCCACAACTGTCTTTATTTGCATGCTGTGCATCACCACTTTTCCCAAACTGTCCAGTGCTCACCCGGTGTGGGGGGTTATGAATCAGGGCTCTGTAGAAGCAGGTGGTTTGTGGGTAGAGAGCCAGCACCAGCTGATCTTTGCTGAACAGTGCCTCAGGGTCTGTCTCTGGGTTGGCTTTCCACTGTGGCAGTGGGATGATTCTTCTTCGACTTAGAGTGTGTCTCCTAGAGCAAGAGAGGAGAGTGTAGTCAGGAGAGAGAACACACAGCAATGTAACATACACTTGGAATAAGACATGATGAAAAAATCTCTGAAGTATTCAATGGTAGTTTATGTAAAGAAGGTTATAGGAAACTAATCCATGACGCGGTGGGGTAATGCAACTCGATGCAAAGAGGAGTTACTGTTACCACCCTGAAGTTGATTATTTTCCAATAACAGCAACTGGTACTTTTTAAGGTACATTTTAATATTGTGGAAAGTAGATGAAACAAGTTAGTTCCTGTTATCACTGAAGTTATAACAGCTATAAACAGTCATTCCCTCACCAACCTCTATTTCTCTCTCTCTAAGTAAATAAGACAAAAAAACGCAGTTTGTTATGTTACCGAGAAACTGGAAAGTCCTCTGACCTGAAGACTTTCCCATGGGGGAAATCTTACTGATGTTTACAAAGAGCTGACACTGGAAACTTCTTCCTTAAATGTTAACTAAACATCTCCTTACAGAAAGCTTCACCATATCAATGATTATATACTATATGACCAAAGGTTTGACTTTCACAAACATATGGGCTTGTTGAACATTCCAATCCAGATTTAGTCCCCCTTTGCTGTTATAATAACCTCCACTCTTCTGTGAAGGCTTTCCACTAGATTTTGGAGCATGACTGTGGAGATTTGTGCTCATTCAGCTACAAGAGAATTAGTGAGGTGTAGTCAGCTTTCCAATTCATCTTAAAGGTGTTCAGTGGGGTTGAGGTCAGGGCTCTGTGCAGGCCACTCAAGTTCTTCCGCTCCGACTTTGGCAAACCATGTCTTCAAGGACCTCGATTTGTACACAGAGGCACTGTCATGCTGGAACTGGTTTGGGCCTCTTAGTTCCAGTGAAAGGAAATTGGAATGCTACAGCATACAAAAACATTCTATACAATTGTGTGCTTCCAACTTTGTGGCAACAGTTCGGGGAAGAACCACATATGGGTGTTATGGTCAGGTGTCCACAAACTTTTGGCCATATAATGCATGTTGTTCTATGTTAAATAACAGCATCTTTTTTAATCCGTTTATTATTAGTCTTAGATTAGGTGGAACATCCGTCATACAAGTTCTTGTGAATAAGTTGCTGCTATAAATAAGAGAATTGAATTTGAATTACAGCCAGCACTACTGTCAGAGCTGCTGTTATAGACAATTACTCAACACCTTTTGACCAATCAGGTTCAAGAATTTAACAGCACTGTGGTATAAATGCAAATATTAGAGATGCCACTTACTCCTTTCCTTCCTCGTCAATGTCATCCACTTCATACCTAAGAAAAGAATGTAGACATGCATGAAGTTAGATTCAGAACCCAACTGCAAGGTAGCAGATAAGTTTAACCATTTCTTAGTGTCAGGTAGTCACTTGTCAGTTGCTTATTTACAGCAAATCTTGGTTCTACAGAAGTTAAAGTGCGAGTTGGTAGGTTTAATTGGTAGATAGTTACTTGTTGGTGGAGTGGTTGTAGCTGACCACTTCAGCCAGAATCCACTGTTCGTCACCATCCACAGCCTTCACCCGAGCTGCCACCTTATCACCCTGCTTAGCCACGTAGTCACTGCTCGCAGGTATCGCTCCACACAGAGGGGGTGGACTAAAGCAGAGAAACAACAGGAACAGTATTACGTTTCACTACTCCACTGTTAGGATAATCAACGGATGGAAGAGTGGAGAAAGTGAGCCAGTACCTTTCACCTGGTTTGCCAATCCATAGAGGAAGTGTCATTGCAGATTGCTGTAACAGGGTCATCAGAACACCTCTGCGCATGGTCTTCCTGGGTGGGTCGCTGTCATTGTACACCCCTGCCATCCTTGCAGCTGGGAGACGAGAAAGAGGTGGAGGCCATTGTGTGTCAGTGAGCTGTTATCAAAAGTACTGGAACTTTTGGCACCAGAAATCTGAAGTTGCACTTTGTTTCCAATACCAAAGGTTCCAGTGACAATGACACCTCTAAGGACTTCAAATTCTTTTGGTTCCCGCTTTGCCTAGTTTGTGATTTTGAATACACAATGCATAAACCCCTAAACATTGACACCTAAACTCTCACACTGACACACACTTCGAATAACTCACCAATACGTCTCTCCTCCAGTAGTGATTTAATTTCTGCAATCTTGTCAAGAGCATGGCGCAATATACTGTGGAAGAAAACATGGAAAATGTCAGATATCGCTACATATTTATTGTGTTACATATAGAGATGTTAGAAAGTCACCAATATATAGAGCCATGTATTCAATACCACAAGATGGAGCTCTCTCATTACGATCCAAATAAAAGAGATGTGTGCATTCGTGCTCTAGTGTTTAGTTACTACATCAGTAATAAGAGATTACTGATAAAAGGTGACCTCTGTTGCGCCAAAAATTTCATATCAGTGCTTCACATAGTTTTTGATTTGTGGGTTTTATCTTTTGCAGTTGGGTCGAGACCTAGACAAAGATTCAGCTAAACTGTGGATCCAAATATTTAGCAGATGAGTGGTGCATGTGTACTATATTGTAGTTACCTGCATTCAGCCTCTGCATCTGCTTTTGCTGTGGTGTACAGTCCACGCAGCTTTGTCCGATAGTATGGAGAAGCTGAGGAAAGAAAAAGGTCTGATGTTCTTGTGTATTGCTAGTTAGTACAGAACAGCTTTTAATAAAGTAAAAAATGAGGAATGCTGATAATGTATGATAATGTAGACTCACTTTTGTTTTCTGTCTGCATCCTTTCATGTGTCTTCTGGATGTTGAGTAGGTTGTGTTCACTGCGCGAGCGTTCCTCCTGAAAATCAGTGATTTAATAAGCACCACTGGAAAGCAAATCCACATGTTGGACTATAATTTATAACATGCTTTTACAAACAAACAGCCAGGAGAAAAGTGCTGTGGAGAGAGCTGATTTTTTTTATTCGGCAAATGGCACCATTACACCACAAACATCTCGGCATTTTGCAAGTCTGAACAGCGTATTTATTTGCACTTAGCATTAAATGAATCAGAAGATACTCTACTTTGCAAGAATCAAAACATCGAGCAAAGTATG